TTTCTCATCTTTTTACCCCTTCTAATTTAAAGACCAGACTTATTTTTTTTTCTTTCCTAATACTCAGGCTGCAGGATATCATGAGACTCCACAACAATCCCAATGTTTAAGCATGGTTTTAGTCTTCTATGTTCCAGAAGACAGCAGAAACTGGACATTTCACCCAGACATTGCCTGAAGATTCAGAAACCAGAAGGCCAAGAAATCCATAAATACTGTCCTTATTTTGATCTTGTGCTTTAAAACAGAGCTGGCTGATGATTTCTGGAGAATGTTGCCACCCATGTAAACAAACAATCAGTTAGACCTACTTTTCTCCCAGAAACATATTTCTGAATTTGAACTGAAGGGCTAATTTATCTTCACTAGACCAGCTTTAGTTTCATCCTTTAAAAGACTAACCTATGACTTACGAGAATTACATCTTTTTGTCAGCAAAAAATTCTATTTCTTAAAACAATTCTTTTTCATAATGTAAACATCACATCCCTTCCACACTGTCCTAATATCAGAATATACTATCAACCACGCAGCCTAATATCAGGCTGTTTAGCAGTTGGGGTTATTGAACACTGCACACTTCATTAACTTCGGGAACGGTTTGGTAAAACTTCTCAGCCCTGATGCATCATTGCATTTACCTTGCTGATGTAAACGATATCTATTTATAAAACTTAACCCTGGTAAAACTGTAATCGAACAAAATGCAAATTAATTTGAACAATTTCCATTTAATTAACCTTGTTTACCCATTTTCATGTGTAAAACATGAGCTCTAGCTCTGATCAATTACTTCTCACCTTCATTAGGTAATAAAAGCAGAAGGGTTCCTGTTACTGATGTGTGAGAGAGTGCTCAAAGATGCCATAGAAGAGGCATGAAAGGAAAGGAGACCAGAACAATGTCTACTTTCCCCGCAGTGCCGACTCACAGCTACTTGGGCTGCATGTTTGGAGTTGCCAAGTAGCTCCAGAGCTGTGGGTTGTGAAGCCCTCCTAAAAATTAATGAAGCAGTTGAGGTTTTTTTCCCCCAAACACAAGTAACTGCTCATCAAAGGCAACAGCCTGAGAAGGAGCAGGATATGGAGAAAAAGACTGAGGAACCAAGCACAAGAGAAGCATGTTGGTGAGACGCGTTCCTCACAGGAGGCGAGCAGGCAGCGCTGCTGGGATGGGGATGCTTTTTCACTTCTCAGTTCTGGCCAGGCAATGTCAGCGACATGCCCTGGCATTGCCGGGTGGAGTAACTTTTGGAATAGCCTGAAATTTGGTGGAACACCTTGATGTGTGGCTCTGTCTGTGCACTGTGGTACCTACCCCAGCTGGATAACCAGGAT